TGCACTTCATCACTTCAAGCTACACTTTTTATTTCATTTTCTCAAAAAATTAGGCACTTTATTTTAGTTTACTTAAATTTAGAATTTATTATTAGTCTAGTTATTATTTATTATCCCTCCAGTTTGATGTGAAAACTGAATGAAATATTATTTGACAGTCCGTTGTTGACTAAATATATATGTTGATACAACTATACGTTATAGTACTGAATGATAACGCAAGTTAGTCGTTTTGATGTTCCTTTGCTTCGGGAAATTTTCTCTAACTGGAGACTTTGAATTCTAATTGAATACCCCTGGTGTAGAATAATGCAGCACAGTGAGGATCCAGACTTTTCATAGAGGACACAGCATCTGTCTGTTAACAGCCTACGATACCACTGGAGATTCTCGGCTTTAACTGAATAGCTACAGGACAGAGTAACACTACGGCCCTCTGATGAGAACACTTCAGCTCTGCTGGCAGTAATATCATCTTCCAAGGTGTTACCTAGTGAGGGAAACAACATGTTAGATTCAGAGTTCTGTTCCAAAGGCAGACATCCATCATTTAAAACCAGCACTCACTGTCAGAAACACTCGTACCTACGAGAGCTGAAAAGAACAAAAGTGCAGCGAGTTTCTCCATGTTGACAGAGGAGAAATGCTGGAACTGAATGTTCAGTATGAATACGTTCTGTCAGTTGTGTTTGGTCTGATGTTCACAGCTGGAATCAAAGAGTTCTCTGCCATGAAGCAGCTCTGCAGTCAGTAGGAGGAGACTCATATTTCACAGTAGTTTCATTTCTGAAGCTCTTCATCACAGCTGGGTCTCACGAGAGAGAAGAATCCAGACTGGATCAGAAAATGAAGTTTAACAGTGTGTGACTCCCTCTAGTGGACGTTGTGGAGTATTCTGTTGTCTTTGCTCCAAAGGTTTTTGTACAGAGTTTTGGTGTTTCCTGTCACTGTGGGCTGCAGAGCACAGTAGTACACAGCAGAGTCAGACAGCTGAAGCTTCTGGATCTTCAGAGGAACTGATCTAGAGGTGGAATCCAGTGTGGATGAAAATCTCTCCTTAAACTTGTCCTCTGTTTTCCCCTCACCGATCTTAAAGCGGCTCAGTATGAATTCAGGGCTGTTGTTTCCATCCTGTTTGTACCAGAAGAGATATGGACTTTGAGAACTGGTGTTATATAGACAGCCAAGTGTTACTGGCTCTCCTTCAGCAGCAGTCACGTCTCCTTCTGGTTGCAGCACGTTGTCTTTTTGTGCTCTGCATTCTGTAAAACAGCAACAAACAGTATCAGTGTGCTGTTAAAGAATCATGTCAATGTTGGATTGATATCAGAGAACCAGAGTTGTGTTCATACCAAGGCACACAGCAGCCAGCAACACTGAGATGAACAGAGGCGTCATATCTGCAGTGTTGAGGAACTGTGAGCTCCAGCAAGTATAAAGAAGGCTGTGATCTCTCTGTTTAGTCTTCATCAACACTAAGTTGGTGGATTAGAAGGAGGAGCCTGATCACAGTGACGGGGCTCATTCACAGCCCTGTGTTATTCCCCGACTGACAACTTTACACTCAACACATTTTCCTCACTCTCTCCTTTCCTAGTGTGACAATCAAGATCAATTAGTGAATGTTTTTAATATGGTATCAGCATCATATTAAAGGCCTGTCAGTTTGCCAGCCTGTCCACAGCTTCTCCA